TAAATTATTTAGATGCATTATTTCTTTGATTATTTGCATGCGTATACTTAATTAATTGTTTATTATTATTTATCTTCTTTTTATTGAATAACATAGTTTGTAATAATTATTAAATAAGGAAAGGGATTTGTTTAATATGAAACAAAGACAAATAAAAAAGACAAGAACTAAAATTAGAGTTAGTTCATTTCAATAACAATAAATTGAATTGGTGTAAAGTATTTGTCAGAACAAAGAGGGTTATTAATTCCATTGTAGTTGAATGACCATTGTTTACAATATGACTCTGTTTTATAATCTTCTTTGTAAATGGTAATATCATTTCCAAATCCATAGCCATAACCAAATGAAAATAAACGGTCATCTGATTGATCATCTAAGCAGAATGCATATTTAGGATTTTTAATAGTAAACTTCATCATCCCCTTTAATCTTTCATTTGACTCTAATGAAAATAAAAACGCATTTGGGTCATATACATAATCACCAACATTATCAATTCTAGAATTAACATACCCTCCAAATTTATTTCCTTCTGAGTCTGTTATAATAATTAATATATGTTGTTTATTTATAAGTTTTTCTTCAAATACTGATATATCGTGTCTCCAATTGCTTGTTGTTGAATCAAATATTATATTTCCTAATTTTCTTCCAGTCCATTTTTCTATTTGTTTTTTCTCATTGAGTGAATAAAATTTGTTATGAACTCTTTTCTTTTCCCAAAATCCTTTTTTATCTTCTAATTCACCCTCAAATTGATGAATTTTATCTGGACTATTAATGATTAATTTTTTAGTTATTCTTTCTTCAGAGTCTAAAGCGTTAGATATTAAAAAATCCATTTGATCAGCAAGTATTTCTTTATCATTTGAACTAACAGCATTAATTTTTAGATACACAACTTTCATTTTATCTAATAATTTAATTCCTTCTTTTGATTTAATTCCAAGTATTTTATTTCTTCTAACAGTTTCTCTCTTCCTTTCAACAATACTTTTTATTCTTTCAACTCTTTCTTGGTCAGTTTCGTTTGGTACGTTTTGTAAAAGTTCCATTTCTACATCTTTATCCCAACACTCTCTATAATCTTTTATTTCTTTCAACATTTCAGTTAATTGATTCTCAACTAATCCAATAGTTCTTTCAAATTCTTGTACTAGTTCTTCCCTTTTACTTTGAGTTGTGTTCATTCTCCTTTCAAAAGCAGAAATTATCTTTGATAGTTCTTGAAACAATCCAGTAAAAACTCAGTTATTTTTCAAAGTTCATTGAACTTTGTCGTCTCATGTTTTGTTTTGAGACAGATTCTTAGAAGTTTTTTCTTTGGTAATGCTTTATAATATAACTTTAAAAGAGTATTAAAAAGGTAATTTAAAAGCTATTCAACTAAAAAGAATTTTATTTTTTTTATTCTTTCATTGATACCGAAAGAAACTCCGGCAGCACATTAGAAGAAGAATCATCTAATGCGAGTGTTAGAAATGAACTCTATTACACCAATAGAGCATATTGGAGAAACTGAAATAAACACTTCTCAATATGAAGAGAATCCAATTGTGGATATATCTAATAATTGACCTTTTTTTCGTTCATTGAGACAGAAAGGAGATTCAAAGATGGCACGTCTGAACTACCT